AATTTATATTTACCCAAAATTGGGAGCCAATTCAATGGTAGCCATGGCGAGATGGCCACTTTGGGTACGTAGGAGTATAATTCGTTACCTAGATAGGTAGTACCCATAAAAGGTCGAGTGCGGGAAAACGATAAAGTGGTTCAACTTGACCAACCGTAGTTCATTAGTTTGGTCATTTAAAAATAGATAATGGCCTACATGTTGTATATTATTTGTTACTTATAAGTATATTAAAGTTCTGATGTCAGAGGTGAGTCCAACGGGTAGGCCTGGGCAAACTCTGATTTTTAACTTCTTATTATTACTTTATTAGTAATTATTAGTGCATGTTACACATATTTATGACTTAAAAGTATAATAAAATTTCCTCAAATTAAAAAATTTGTTGACTATATAAATTATTTTTATAACCAGACCTATCCTGAATTTTGGTCCTAGGCACGCCTCTTTGTAATAATAACTGCTGTTTAAAATATACAGATTGTTCTCACCCCCATTATTTGTGCATGCAATTTTTTAAAAAGGGGGGGGGGTCATTTATAAACAGAAGTTGGTATTGCTACATTACACTTTTGAAATGGTACAAAAATTTAGAGAATTTCAGAAAATAGTCTATAAGTAAATTAAATGATTCCAAGTCAGATTTTGAATAATTGCAGAATTATTAAAGAAAAAAGGTGAGTGAGAATCCATGAATCTCTCTGTATGAAAAGCTTGTAGCTAATAGAGATATACATTCTGGGAATTTCATGTATACATAAACCTGCTGCATTTCAATGTTTTATTAATTTTTTTTTTCTTAAAAAATATTATGTCTAATGTCTCAGCTTAATATTTTACTCCGCTTATCGATTACAAAAAGACTACGGCGATTCGATGTGTGCCATGCCACTGCGGTATTACATAATATTATAAAACTATGTAGGTATGCAATATAAAAGTATACGGTATATATATATTTAAGAATCACGTGCAACACTCATATATGCGATGATGAAAAAATCCGTGGTGAATTGTGAGCCACTTTTTTATACGTTTATTTTATAATATATAGGTTCACGTAGTGGGTAGTTGCTTGAGTTCGCCGCTTGCCAGCTAAACTTTTGGGATGCAACATTATAACTATATAGATAATATTCTTAAAGAAACGTTTAACGAGAGGGTCACTGGGGAGCAAAGAAGAAAAATAATAACAACGATGCTTTTTATCGCAATATTATTTTATATAGGGCGACGTTTTTAACGGTGATCATTGTTCCGAAAAATATTGGCCCTTAGGATACATTTATCCAATTCTAGGTTCTCATTAATTTTTTTCCACTCGCATTCGACCATCGACTGTGTTTTGGTTTTTAAATTTCATAACTTTATTGTTTAATTTTTAAACAAACTAGCTTGTATATACAAGCTCTGTGATCATTGGTGTCGGTGTATATCTCTTATTCGAAAATATAAAATTGATATTATAGTTTATCGATTATAAAAAATATTATAGACAATGCTCACTGAAATATAAAATGAACTTTGCATGATCTTTTTTTACAACATAGGAAACATATAATGWGTGTAGCGTCATAAATTACTTCAATGGATGTGTTAAAGTTATACTCGATTCAAATGTACCTGTACATTGTACGTCATGTAAAAAACCTGTACGTCATATCGAAAAAAATATTTAAACATTTAAAATTATTATATATCATATTTAAAAATGTGTATATAAATAATCGATATAAATTTTAAATATCTACAATTAAATTGTATTGATATTCTGAAGTACATCAAATAGAAGAAATAGGATCTTTCAWAAACAAATGTTGCATAAACATTCCCATTTCCTCGCTATTATGCGTTA